TTTTTTTTTTTTTTTAAGGAAATGTATATTTATTTGTTTTTGGTGTATACATGTATGCTACTCAATTATTATTCATCATCAAAATTAGGCCTTTCGGCCTGAAAGAAAGCATGTGTAGGAGCGCTAAATTATGGATTAGGTTAGACCTAAAATAAAAGGTCAGATTATTTTTTTCTTAAATAGAATTTACATGTAAATTCTCCTCATTTAGTACATATGATTCATGTGGTATTTATGAAAAACTTCTATATAAATGAAAACATGATTAGGAGTAAATGGTAAAATCATTATTAATAGGTTAAAACCCTTATTTGGTCACTAAACTATTATACAGATTCTCAATTTGGTCCCTAAACTTAAAAAATCACTGATTTGGTCCTAACTGTTTTCCATTTTTACCTTGATTTGGTCCTTCCGTTAAGTTTTCACATTAATTGATGGACGAAGACAACATAAACATTACATGTCACACAAAAATTGACAAGTTGGCAAAAATAGATGACATGGCATTCCAACTCATCCCATGCAAAAAAAAAAAAAAATTGTTCTTTTCTTTTTTCTTCCCTTTCTTCAACTTCTGTAACCCCTAACATGTCAATCAACCTCTAACATGTCAATCAACCTCTAACATCTCAACCAATCTATTCATCTCAACCAATTTCTACCCTTGCTGGTTCTTCATCATCATCGTCAAACAAGATAACCCACAAAAAAACATAATTTTTTTAAAAAAATTTTGCCCTTGGATTCTTTCGAACCTAGTAGTAGCACCCTTTCTTTCTCCTTCCTCTTCCTTGCTTTGCCTTCTTCATCAATCAATTCTTCATCTTCATCAATCATCAAACAACAAAATTCAAAAAAAAAAAAAGATTTTTTTTTTTTTTTGCCCCTAGGTTCAATGGAACCCAGTGCCTGGGCGCTTGGGCATCAAACCCAACAGCACTCTTCTTTCTCCTTCCTTTTCCTTGCCTTGCCCTTTTCATCAATCATCAAATAACAAAACCCAAAAAAAAAAATTTATTTTTTGCCCTTGGGTTCCATCTAACCTAGGCATGCTGGGTTCCAAGGGGAAAGAGAATGGGAAAGAGAATGGGAAAGAGAAGGAAAAAGGAAAAAAAAATTAAGTTTTATTTTTCATAATAATATTATTTTATATTATTATTTTTTCCATGTCATTACTTTTTTGTCACATTATCTTCCACATGTATTAATGTTTGACATTTCATTTTATAACAGTAAAGTAATGACCAGCTTTTTAACAGAATGATCAAATCGGGGTAATAATGGTAAACAGTAAAGACCAAATTAAAGATTTTTAAATTTAAAAATTAAATTGAAGATCTATATAATAGTTCAGAGACCAAAATAGGATTTTAACCTTATTCATAACCTTCTCTTTCTTTTTTGGATCTCTACCAAATTGTGTCAATATTTTAAAAAATTACGAGAATAATTGAAAAGATGGAAAGATAGCATGATGGGATCAATGG